GCATTTTATTTGTCACAGCCTGTGTTTATACATTTAATAATTTATACATTTTAGTAATAAGATATTTTTTGTTTGTACATAATTCTTTTTCAAATTCAGACTTGAATTGTTCAAATTCAAAATACCTTTTGTCTTTTTCAAACCTTTCCAAGATTTATAAATACAAAAACCAATGACAGGTATAACCTTCTGTTAATAAATTTCCTCTAGATTTGAAATTTATATTCTCCTTGTTTTTCTAACATATCACGATATGGTGACCATTTATGCAAACTGAAGATGTTAGGAGATGGGAAGAACTTGCAGCTAAAGATTGTAGGGAGTCCCAGGTTCAATCCCCTGATATTTTCTGTTTTTAAAAAAATATCTGGTGGCGGTCACACGGGTGAGATAAACTGGGGGGGAATTTGACCCGCAGTTGCACGACCACACAGTCCTTTGAAGCTGCGGGGGCAGCCCACCACTGCGTGATCAGACGCAACTGCGGGTGAGTCAGGGGTTGTTGTTTTGTTTTTTTGCCATTTGTTTCCGATTCGCTTAAACGGGGAATCGATGAATTGCATCTCAGCACTGAGGGCTCCCTATGGAGTGTTGCACATACTGAGAAGGGGGGAAAAAAACAATGGCACGGAGTCAGGATGGCCTGATCAGACCGTCCCGACACCATGAGAGCGTGCTGGAGCAATCGGACATGGGAAAGTCCGTCCGTGGCCCATAGCAACCCGTTTGCTACCGGACTTTCCCTGGTGTCTTTTTACTCCACTTCTGCGGCAGAGCAAAATGGGTTGCTGAAGGGTGCGGGGTGCTTCCCAGATGTCCGTGTCTGATACCACCCTTTAAATCCACTCGGCATTACGCGGCTAATTGTGCGTGTGATTGCAACCTTTGAGAGAATCACCTGGAGAAAGGAGCAGTCTCTGCCTTAGACCTCAGCGGTTTATTTTTTTCAAAGCACCACAAGCCGGAATAAAGATGTCAACAGCCTGATTAAAGGCTGGCTCCAAAAAACAAGGCCGCAAGGCAGAAAGAACATCAATCCTCATCCTCATCCTCCTTCTTCTCAGTCAGTGTGTCACAATGGTTAAGAGTGTCAGAGCAGGATCTGGGAAGCCCAGGTTTGAAACCCCACTTGTGCCATGAAGCAGTCACACTCTCTCAGCATAACCTACCACACAGGGTTGTTGTGAGGTTACAATGGAGGAGAGGAGAATGATGTAACCTGCTTTGGGTCCTGTTTAGTGAGAAAAGGCAGGATATGAATGAATTAAAATATATATATATTAAAGTGGTAAGAGAAAGCCTCTGAACATACGAACATAAGCGAAGCCAATGTTGGATCAGGCCGATGGCCCATCCAGTCCAACACTCTGTCACACAGTGGCCAGAAATACCAGGTGCCATCAGGAGGTCCAGCAGTGGGGCCAGGACATTAGAAGCCCTTCCACTGTTGCCCCCCCAAGCACCAAGAATACAGAGCATCACTTGCCCCAGCCTGTGATTTCCTATCTATACCTTGTGGCTAATAGCCACTGATGGACCTCTGCTCCATATGTTTATCCAATTCCCTCTTGAAACTGTCCATGCTTGTAGCTGCCACCACCTCCTGTGGCAGTGAATTCCATGTGTTAATCACTCTTTGGGTGAAGAAGTACTTCCTTTTATCTGTTCTAACCCGACCGCTCAGCAATTTCATGGAGTGCCCACAAGTTCTTGTATTGTGGAGGAGGAGGAGGAGGAGAGGAGGAGATTGGATTTATACCCCGCCCTTCACTACCCAAAGGTGTCTCAGAGTGGCTTACAAACTCCTTTCCCTTCCCCTCCCCACAACAGACACCCTGTGAGGTAGGTGGGGCTGAGAGAGCTCTGATAGAAACTGTTCTTTTTCAAGTACAGCTCTTATCAGAACTACGGCTTGCCCAAGGTCATCCAGCCAGGTGCAAGTGGAGGAGTGGGGGATCAAACCCGGTTCTCCCAGATTAGAGTCTGCGCACTTAACCAATACACCAAACTGGCACCAAACTCACCAAATTGTGAGAAAGGGAGAAAAGTACTTATTTCTCGACCTGCTGTATTCCATGCATAATCTTATAAACCTCAGTCCTGTCACCCTTCAGCTGTTGTTTCTCAAAGCTAAAGAGCCCCAAGCGCTTTCCCCTTTCTTCATAGGGAAAGTGTTCCAACCCTTTTATCATTCTAGTTGCCCTTTTCTGCACTTTTTCCAATGCTATAATATCCTTTTTGAGGTGTGGTGACCATAACTGTACACAGTACTCCAAACGAGGACGCACCATCGATTTATACAGGGGTATTATGATACTGGTTGATTTGTTTTTGATTCCCTTCCTAATAATCCCCAGCATAGTAGCCTTTTTTATTGCAGTCACACACTGTCTTGACATTTTCATTGAGTTATCTACTAGGACTCCAAGTTTCTGCCAGTTCGGACCCCATCAACGTGTATTTATATTTACGATTTTTTGTTCCAATGTGCATCACTTTGCACTTGGTCGCATTGAACCCCATTTGCCACATTGACGCCCACTCGCCCATCCTCAACAGATCCCTTTGAAGTGCCTCACAATCCTCCCTGGTTGTCACCACCCTGAACAACTTTGTGTCTTCCGCAAATTTAGCCACTTCACTGCTTCCTCCCAACTCCAAATTATTAATAAACAAGTTAAAAAGCATCGACTGAGTACTGATCCCTGATGTACCCCACTGCTTACCACCCTCCACTGAGAAAATTGCCCATTTATACTCTCTGTTTCCTATTAATTAGCCAGTTTTTGATCCACAAAAGGACTTGACTATTGAGCTTACTTAGGAGCCTTTGATGAGGAACTTTATCAAAAGCTTTCTGGAAGCTCTCTACCAGCGCTCTTAAAACGCCTGAGTGTCTGAAACTGGAATGGGGACTGAGCCTGGCCTTTTAATCCTTAATCCTTGCGCTGATTGCCTCCTCTTCCTAGCGACCTAGCCCCTTCACTCCCCCCCCCTCCAACCCCCCCCCCCAAACGTCCGCTGTAGATGAGACCAGAAAATGTATTATTTATTTATTTATTGGACTTCTATCCCACCCTCCCCGCGAACGGGATCAGGGTGGGTCACAACAGAAAAACCAATACAAAATTCAACATTAGAACTCTAAAGCATCATATTAAATGAAGGCAAGAAGGTAAGGCAAGGCAGCTAGTCTGAAGAACGGGCGGGAGTGCGCGCAGCTTGCCTGTGCGGCCGGAAGGCTGGCATGGTAACCCTTTCCCCGAAAAAAGCCTTTTCCAGCCTCATGAAGACTATCATTGCACGCATTCCCAGCCAGCCAGCCAGCCAGCCAGCCAGCCAGCCAGCCAGCCAGCCAGCCAGTGAAGGGTGGAGTATAAATCCAATCTCCTCTTCTCCTCTTTTTCTTTCTTCAACAGGAAGACTGACTGGCTTGGGCTGGCAAAGTTGCTGCCATTTGGGTAGCGGGCAGCAAACTAATTTGGGGTAGTAAGTAACTGCACTGTCATGGAGTGGACCAAGGGGGAAAAAGCCCCCATCGGTCTCCCCTGCTGTGAAGCACGTATAGGTTTCTGACTCTTTTCTAGTACCCTGTGGAATGGACCTCTCAGGACAGCCTCCAAAGGAATATTTAGGGTAGTGGTCATGGAATGAATTTCCTTCTGGGGTCATCTCTTCCCTTAAAAGCCATCTTGAACCAAGAGGAAAGGTGGGATGTAAATGTTTTAATAAACAAGTTAATAATAAATTGAACCTTCCTCGTTCTTAGCACCTTTCCCCCCCTCTGCTGTCCTGCCAGAACCCTTGTTTCTTCTTTGTGGGGATGTTCATGACCCTGGAACGGAAGCATGCCTCGGTCTGCAGCTGGGTCAGTTAGCAAACATGCCAAGGATAACATGAGCTTCAGACACCAAGGGTCAGCCCTTCTCTCTAGTTCTGGCCGTGCCTACCATTTGCTGCTTAAGAGAGAGGAAGAGCTCTGGTGTGTTGCTGGCCTAGTGGGAAATGACAAGTCCTGCTGGGTCTCACCAGTCGCAGATGCCTTGCATGGTTTCCAGATCTTCCTTTGGTTTTGTCAGTGCATTCAGGAGCCCATTTTAAATGGCAGGGGTTGGCCTTAGAAGATGTAAAAACGGAGCAAGCAAAAATAGATACGAGAGCATCTCTGCACATGTGCACAGTTTATCTGAGCCATGGTCTTTTTAGAAGAGTGGGAATGAACCCTGGAACATGGGACATGATGAAGCCTGTGCCTCCGAACATGGGCAGAATGCCTTTAGTCATCACTAGGTAGATACAGTTTGTTGATTTATTTCCTTAATCTCTAGCCTGCCTTTCAAACATGCTCAGATTCACTCCACAAAGTCTAGATTAAGGAATGGGTCTGCCTTCTAGGTGAGAGCATTCAAGCAGGTAGAGCCCAGGGCTCCTTTCATTTTTTAGTAACTAACTACAGTTATTTGGGAGTGAGATTTTGTGCCACTTAAACAGTAAGAAATACCAAGGTATTAAATTCACAATTTTTCAGCATGCAAGAAATGGACTCCTTTAAAGCAGCTCAAACTGTCAAAAAAGAAAAGAAGAAAAGCAACTGTCAAAGGAAGGGCAACATACAGATCCTCATTCATCCCCTTCAAAGCTGCCTACTTGTTTCATTCCCTGCTTAGGGTAGAAGAGGTCCTATCTGTTTGCATCTGTTTTGTTTGGGGAAGGGGTGGAGTGAAGAGTATGACACTCTGTTGCCCTCTATGGTAAGGAAAATGGACTAGACTGGAGGAGAGAGGCTTGGGTTCACTGGATGGATTTAAGCCCCCTTGCCACGAGGACCACGGTCTCCCTTGAATGTTTGCTGTAGCTCTGTAGTTCCAAGCACGCTTGTGGGGGCTAGTTCCTGTTGGATGCCAGGAGTGGCTGTTCTGTTTGGGAACCAGGGCTTCTGGCTTCTGTTCCATCCCTACAGAGAGCCCTCTCCAAGACACTCCTGTTCTCTGCACATCCAGCTTTGTCCGTGATGATTTCAAGCGCTACAAGGTGGACCTTGCCCATGTGGCCGAGCACCCGGCATGTGCGTTGCCCATCTCGGTGGTGATCAGCAACACGACGACAGGCACCCGCACCATCCTGCACGCCGCTAGGTGCGTAGGCAGAGTGTTCCTTGTTTTCGGCTCTAACCCTCCTCTTTCTCTCCCCCTTCCCTGGCCCCAAGATTCATCCTGTCCGATTTCCAGAACCGCAACGTGAATGTGGCCCATGTGGTCTGGCAGAGCCAGGGGGAGACGCCGTGTGCCTGCTGCATCGTCAACAGCTCCAATGGCTCTCGGACAGTCACTCTCTTTGACACGTAAGGCCCAGCCTGGCTGCTGCTTCTAACTCCCCCTGCCAATGGGTGGCGCCAGAGGGCACCCTGCCACTTGCCTTAGGGACCAGGCCTGCTCTAGCAAGCTCCTTTCCTCTTTCAACCAGCCACTTCCTCACATGGGACACTAGGGCTATGATGGTATTAACAGTGATTTCACCAGTTTCATGCTTTCATTCCATTTCCCACAAGGGAGGAGATGTGCACTCCCAAGTATATCAGCCTGTTCCTCCCATCCTTATGGAGAGATTCTCTGATGCAGAGCAGAGCTCACGTCTGCCTGAATTCTCAGTATTTAGCATCAGGAAGCGCAAGGTGATGTGACCTGCACTTCAGGCATATTTGCATTGCACTGCACTGCACATTCAACTGCATAGCTGAATCTGTTTCTTTAGTGTTTTGGATTTTTAAAAAATTCTGCTGATCTTGAGGGAGCAGAAGGAAAATAGGCTGTCCATTGAGAAAATCTTATTCAGCAATCCTATTGCCTTCTCCGATTCTACCAATATTGCCTTTGCAGAAGGATCAAAACTCCAAAAGCAGAGGCTCTTGGGAATGGTAACTTTGGGGCCAAAATTGTGTTCTGCTGGTTTTTTGGCTCTTGTGTAGAATTGCCGCATAGCTGGATATAAGAAGTTGCCAATATGAAATCAGATTATTTGATCAACAGACTTTCTCTGGTAGAAAAAAAAGACTTCTCTCAGCACCAGCTATCTGGGCTTCTTTAGGTGGAGATGCCAGGGACCTTGTGCATGCCAGACATGTACTTTCTCACTGAGCTCTGGCCCTCCCCTTAAACAAAAGCAAAACTGCCATTGGGCCCAGCATTGTCTGATTTGCCTGGCAACCATTCTCTAGAGTATTTCCCAAGAGGCCTTGTAACTGGAGATATGAGGGATTGAACCGGGGACCTTGTGCATGCAAAGCACGTCCTCAGTCACTGGTCTGCGGGTCTTCCAAAGGAGAGAGGTGGTCAGAACCCATCCCTCACACAGCAGTTCCAACTACAGCCCCAGGAGCAAACTAATGCAGGGGGGCTTGGGCTTCTTGTATTCCTTGTGTAGGGAAACTGAAGCCAGTGGAGAGATGAAGTTCAAACTCCTGAATAGGCCTGTCCATCCCGTCACAGTGCTGTGCACCCCCCCCCCCCCCCCCCGGCAGCACTCTTGTGCTTTTATTAATTGAGCTACAAACCAAAATATAGTAAGTGAAGCATGGGTCAGAAGCCCTGCCAGAACTTCTGAGCCTTATTTCTGCACATCTGTTGCACTCTGGGACCAGCTGCAAAGGAAGACTGGACTCCTGCCCTTCAAATAGTCGTTGAAAGAGAGAATTTTGGGAGGAACAGCTTTTCTTAACCTTGAATTACAAAGTTGCATCTCCCAAAGAACAAGCATATGTATCTCATTTTCAGAAGGCCAAAGCTCTTCATACATCTTGTTTTAATCAGTACTTACAACACCCCTGTAAGGTAGGGCTGTGTTGTCATCGCGCATTGCAGAGGAGCTGAAAACATACAACTTGCCTAAGGGAAGTGAGTGTGTGGCAGAGGGGATATTTAAACCAGGATCCTCCTAGATCACAGTTCATTCTCTTAGCCACTGTGCTAGATGCTTCAGCATAACTATGGAAGGCACAGCCTCATCAATATCAGTTGCTTCTGGTTGTGCAAATGCTGCTTGGAAGCTGGGAACTGGATCCCTAGGTTCTCTGGAAAAGAAGTAGAATCTCACAAGGAGAAGAAACATGGAGTTTCTGGACTTTTGCCCTGACCTGGTAGGAGCTCCTCTGGATTCCTACTTTTCTAACTTGTCCTGCCTTTATGCGAAATATGGCAAACAGTGTGAAGAACAGAGCTCTGTAGGGTGTAGCTTTATTCTCTCTCTCTCTTCATCTCTTATCAGTAATGACTAATATTAATTATCCATCGAGTACACTTGATGTACAAAGTGCTTTTTGATTGCTATCTTGTTGGTCATTGTGACGTTTTAAAGTTTCCGCTTTTGACAACAAGTTCAGCAGGCAAAGCTTGGCATGCAGAAAATCTGCTGAATTTCTTCTTACTATGCAGCTTTTAAAAGACAGTTGGCAACCCAACATGCTGGTTGATGCTCGCATTTTACAACTTGGGAGAACCGAGGCTCAGGTGGAGGGATGCCACTCTGTAAGTCAAGTGATTCAGATGCCAAGACTTGCAAGGGCAGATCCTGTTCTTCATCCTCTCATCCATAGCCATGGCTGTGTTAGAAGGTACAAGACAAAAGTTGCGGGGTTCTGTAACCTCTAGCTTATGGTGCTAGGGCTCAAAGACGATGCTCCCAATCAGGATTTGTGTAGGGGCTTGCCTGAGCAGGTCGAAAGAGTCCCCACCACCTGACCCAAGCAGGTTCTCAGCATGGCGCCACCCAGTGGGAGGGGAAATACCATCTGTGCACGGTCAAGAAAGATCTGACTCACTTAATTCTTGGTAGATTCACCTACTAATCCTACACAATGCAGCCAATCATCTTTGCCAATGCTAATTCCTGATCGTCCTTCTTGGTAATTGCACACCACTGTTTCTCTCCTTGTTATATCCCCCCCCCCCCCCTCTTTCTGACTCATGGATTGAGAGTTGCAGGTGGGACGGCTTCTTGACCAGAGCAGGGGGGCACACCTGGAATCTGGACAGTGGAAGGTGAGAGGCTGTGGGCTTGCAAAGAGGCTCACCTGGGCCCAGTGATCCAAGACAGAAGGGAAGGCCACCATTGTGCAGTGGGGAAATGCTTTCTGTGACTTGGGAGGGGGTCTTCCCTTCCATGTGCTGAGACAGTGTCCCCCTATTTTGATACACTTCCAAGGGCTTTCCATGGTCCCCTTTTCACTCCTGTCCCTTAGGCAGCACTGCTAGCAAATGTTCAGCCTTACCATTTAAATATGGGGTTGTGCTCAAGTGAACTCCTCCCGAGGGGGTTTCTTAATCTTTATAGGGGATGGGCACAAAACTCCCCTCCTGCTGCCAGTGGAGCGGCAAGACTTGGTTAATGATTCCTCTGGGCCGGCACAGGCCTGGGAATGTCTTCCGGGTGGCCTTTGTCCCAGGGGCAGGTTTTGAGGGTTAATAATTGAAATGGGGTAGAGTCCAGTTCCCCATCATGGGGGCTGAGAGCCAGTTAACCCTTGGCCTACCAAGCACCCCAGATTACAGCCCTTGACACCTCACTGGGGCGTGGTACTGTTCTCAGGAGTAGGGGCCCATGAATTAAAAAGACGATCGTTCTAGAAGTGTGGGTGGGTGGGTGAAATTTCTTTTCCATTGGAATGGAATAACCACAGTTAGGCCTAGGGATGCCAGCCTCCACGTGGGTCTTAGGGATCCCCTGGAATTACAGCTCATCTCCAGACTACAGAGATCAGCTTCCCTGGAGAAAATGGATGCATCGGAGGGTGGACTCTATGGCAGTGGGCCCCACTGAGGTTCCCTGTCCTCCCCAGGCTCCGTCCCCAGATCTCCAGGAGTTTCCCAGCCTGGATCTGGCAACACTTACCCAGTGGCCAGTGGCCAGTAGCCAGGGGAACCTAGTGACTCTAATTAGGTCCTATATGTCTGGGTTTTGGACGGGCTTGCCTGATCAACGTAAACCTCAACCTATCTCTTATGGGAAATGGAGCCTCTCTTGGACACCAGTGAATGCAGCAGGCTTAAGGTCAGAGGTTTCCTTGCAGATACCTCCAAAACGGCCAAAGGCCAAGCAATTTCCGCAACAGCCTAGAAAAGGCAAGGTCAAGCAGGTGGTGATGCCTTTTGGTATTGCTTAAGGCTGGTTAACTGCCCATTTGGGGGTGTCTGGTCTGATACATTGCATGCTGGGATGTCTAATAAGGTGGGCTACCCTCCAGCATCAAAGTGATTTAAATTTCTTACCAGTACTACTGTCCCTCTCAAGGGGCTCAAAGCACAAGGTGGGTGGTGTCCACTAACTAATTTCTTACAGGTACTATGTGCTGGCCCATACCAGCTTCCTTTCATGCCTGGCTACTCTCCTCTTTGGAAATTGCAGAGTAGAGAGTGAGAGAATTTAGTCCTTGTTTTTATTTGGGGAGAGGGGTTGAGGCCCCTTCCAGTCATTCATACTTCTATAAACTACAGTCTACTCTTCCATAATGTAAGAAACATAAAGAATTGCCCTGCTGACCTACCCAGCACTGCACCCTCTGCCAGAAAGCCAGTCCAAATGCAAAGGTCTTACAGCATTTCTGGAAGATGCTCAGGCTCAGACTTTGACCATCTCCGAGGGAAACAAATTTCTGCGGCAGCTCCCTAGAACACTTCTCCCCATGTATTTTATGTTTAATTTTTATTTTACAAAATGTATATCCTTTCTTTCTGCCCTCACAAGGGCTAGCAGGGGGGCTAACAAACTAAAACGTACATAATAAAATCATGTTGTAAAACCATTAAAACCAACTCAACCCCCCCCCCACACACACATAATTAAAACCAGAGCTAAAACACAAAGACATAAAACCAACAATTAAAATGTTGGGCAGGAAGATGGGATCTCTGAGGGAACACCAAATCAAATGAAAAAGTTTTCACCTGCAGGTGGAGGATGGCAACAAAGAGGGACAGACGAATTTCATTGGAGAGAGAGTTCCAGCGTTTTGATGCTACGACTGAGAAGGCCTTCTCATGGGTTGCCACCTGCCTAGTTTCAGGAGGTGAGGGCACCCAAAGCAGGGCCCCTGAAGATGGCCATAGAGGTGGCCCTTCAGGTATGGTGATCCCAAACCATATAGGGCTTTAAAGGGCAACACCAGCACCTTGAATTGCACCCAGAAACAGCTGGGAAGCCAGTATAGATGGGCCAAGATTGGGGTGATAATTAGGGTTGCCAGCCTCCAGGTGGGGCCTGGAGATCCCCTGCTTTTACAACTGATCTCCAGCTAACAGAGAGCAGCTCCCCTGGAGAAAATGGCTGCTTTGAAGGGTGGACTCTGTGGCATTGTGCCATGCTGAGGTCCCTCCCCAAACCCCACCCTCTCCCAGATTCACTCCCAAAGTCTCCAGGTATTTTCCAACCCAGAGCTGGCAACCCTAAGTGATAGGGTTCCTATGACCCACTCCAGTCAACATCCTCGCAGCAGCATTCTGCACCAGTTGAAGTGTCCGAACACTTCTTAAGGCAGCCCCATGTAGAGCGCATTGCAGTAGTCTAACCCAGTGCTAGGCCTGGGTCCAAGAGCCCTCCGGTGTTCTGTTCAGATTTTCAGGCATGGATTTAAGAGGCCAGGCATCTTGGGCACATTGTCAGGACATTTTCAAGACTGTCAGGAGCAAACTCTTCAGGGCTTCGTAGATTATAGCCAACATTTAGACTTGCTCTCTGCATACTGCTGGGAAGGGAGGCTGCTGCAGTGTTTTCCGACTCAGCCCCACGTGCAACACATAAATAGAACCTCCATATTCAGGAATCTGCCTCTGTTTGCCGGCTTCTGAGAGCAAACAATAAGGATGGCTGGCTTCTTAATGCCTTGGCTGTGAGCGGCCCAGAAGCACTGGATGGGTGCCATGGAAACACAAAAGAGTTCAGTTGGCTTCCAGACAGGGAAGGCAGAGTCAAACAGTTTAAGCGGAGGTTTTAGGGTTGTTCTCTGTCAATTATTTTTTCAACAGGTATGCATTTTAATCACAGTTGCCTGCGCTCCTGCTCTTTGAAGGCAGGCTGTCGATTTAAATAATCTGAGGAGGGGGAGGCCCCGCAATAGCCTGCGTCCTCTGCTGTCTCACAGATTTTGTCCCCTCTGCATCTCTTCCACCCCTCTCTGCAGCAACCTGCCAGATGTGACAGATGCTGATTTTGAACAGGTTAACCTCTCTCAGTACAAGTGGATTCACTGGGAGGTGAGTGAGACTACAAGCCCTAAGCGCAGTGAGTAGGGTTACCAGCTCTGGGTTGGGAAATAACTGGGCAGAGCCTGAGGAAGGCGGGGTTTGGAGAGGGGGGGGGCAGGGCTTTTTTTGTAGAAAAAAACCAGCAGAAACTCATTAGCATATTAGGCCACACCTCTGATGCAACATATTAGCATATTAGGCCACACCCCATGCCTTCCCTTGGCTTGCCCAGGCAAGCCGGGCCTTGGACAGTCTGGGGGAGACATTTAAATACCTCCCCAATCCTTCCAGGCCCCCCACCGGGGCCCCCACCTCGGAGTCGCCAAGGGGGGGGGTTACTCTCCAGGCCTTCCCTCTGTAGCCACGCATGCAGTGGTTTTGGCTGTAGTGGGCGTGGCCAACTCTGAAGCCAGCCAGAACGCCGTTCCTGTGCGTTCCTGCCCAAAAATAGCCCTGGGGGGGGGAACTTCAGTGGGCTATAATGCCATAGAGTCCACCTTCCAAAGCAGACGTTTTCTCCAGGTGAACTGGCCTGTCAGCTGGAGGTCAGTTGTAGTAGCCGGAGATCTCCAATCATCACCTGGAGATTGGCAACCCTAATAGTAAGTCATAAGTATGTTCACTGAATCGAATGGGGCTTGCTCCCCAGTAAGACTGCAGCCTGGGATGGTGACCTTTCCTGTCTCTGTCTGCCTGTGGCATATGGGATGGCAAAGCCCTTTGAGAGAACCGTCACTTGATAAATCTCACCGGTGGGTGCTCCTTTGCAGTAGTGAAGTGCCTCTTGCTGCTTAGGCCACCAAGCCATGCTTCGATCTGTGGCTATCCTCCTTTGCCTCCCCAGCTGCTTTGCCAGTCCTCTTGCCTCTTTGCCTCCCGTCCCCATTGCTGTTCCCCATCCCTACCCCTCCCTGTGGTTGGTGTTCCATATCTCGCCTTCTGCTCTTGTGCCTGGGCCGGTTAAAATCTCAGCTCAACCAAGGTGGCCGTAGGCATGCCAAGGAACAGCTGTGGCTCAGCAAGAGAGCTTTCTTTCTTTCGTTCCTTCTTTCCAACCCAAATGTGTATGCTGCCTTTCTGCCCCCAGGTGGCTAACTGTGAAACCGTTATAAACACGTACCATAAAACAATTGATAAACAAAGCAATTAAAACCAAAACTAAAATGTACATTAAAATATAGAAAGCAGTAATTAAAGCACACAGCAGAAAGGAGGGGACGTTGAGGGAACATCAGATGAAGCACAAAATGTCTTCAACCACTGATGGAAAACAGTTGACAGAGGAGGAGAGATAAATATCCCCCGGGAGAGACCTTTTGTGAGTCACTGCTCACTACATTTAGTTAGTCTTTAAGGTGCTACTGGACTCTTGCTCTTTTCTACTGCTACAAAGAGACTGACATGGTTGCCAATCCTGCTCTATCCTGAGAGAGTGTTTTTATTGGTTTTGTTTATTTAAACATTTGTTAGCGACTTTTCTATCTTGTGGGACTCAAGGCGGCTTACAAAGTAAATTAAACAACAATTATCAAAACACATCAAAAACTCACAAGTGCTATTGCTATAGTTTTGGTGCTATGACCAAAAGGGCCCTCTCTCAGGTTGCCTATTGGGGGGGGGGGGGGGGATGTCCCAAAGCTGGGCCTTGGAAGATAACTTCAGCAGTTGGGTAGGTTTGTATGGGAATACGTGGTCCTTCCTTTACATGTAGGTGGTTTGGTTTTGGTCCCTTGGAAAGACTCCTGCCTATGCCACTGCCAGTGAGAGGGCACAGTCCTAGGCCTGACAGGTCAATGGTCAGACACTATAAGGCAGCTTCATATAAGCAGCTGCTGCCTCCAACTTGGTCGCAGGGCTGGTTTCCCAGGGTGGTCAGGTTGGGCATTTCCAAAGCCCCAAGACTAGAGAAAAGCTTAACACTCCCTTGCCTTGCATGGGACACCTGAGAAGAATTGGGGGGGGGGGGTGGATGATAAAACTATCCTGCATTACAGGACTGTTATATTATCCTGATTGGGGGCCTGGAGACCAAGCCCTATGAGGAAAGGCAGAGGGACTTGGGAATGTTCAGTCTGGAGAACAGGAGGTTGAAGGGGGAGATGATTGCTCTCTTTAAGCATTTGAAGGGCTGTCCCTTAGAGGAGGGCAGGGAGCTGTTCCTGTTGGCACCAGAGGAGAGGACTCCCAATAATGGGTTTAAATTAAGGGCGGGAAGGTACCGGCTGGATCTTAGGATAAACCTTTTTACAGAAAGAGTTGTGCAACAGTGGAATCAGCTGCCTAGGGAGGCGGTGAGCTCCCCCTCCCTGGCAGTCTTTAAGGAGCGGCTGGACAAACACTTGTCAGGGATGCTCTAGGCTGATCCTGCATTGAGCAAGAGGTTGGACTAGATGGCCCGTATGGCCGCAACTCTGTGATTCTATGTTAAGTGTTATGAAAATGCCAAGTGTTTCCTGTGGGCAGGGTGCTTGCAGCCACTGCTAGATAAATGGGAAGGAGTGGGACCCATCCCTGCAATTCTCAACAGCTGTTCAGAGAAGTGGGTTGGGCAGAGGTGTCTGAGCAGAGAATCTGAGCGGCCTACCCCACTAAGAGCAACTCTCTTCAACAGAAATGCCTCTGAACAGGTGAAGATGATGCGACGGGTAGAAGAGTATAACGAAACCTGCCCTGAATCTCAGCGAGTGGGCACATCCGTGGAGGTGGAGAAGCCACGGCAAGAATTATACCAGCTCTTTGGCTATGGAGATGTGGTAGGGAACCCCCAAAGGTGGGAGCTGTTGAGAATCTAAGGGGGGGGGGTACCTTGGCTGAACTTGGGGAGGATGTGGCTAGTGAAGAGCAAGCCAAAGACTGGCATCCCAACCTGGATTAGGCCACGCCAGACAGCTGCTGCCCCATGAGTGGTTGTACTGCAAGGCCAACTGTTGAGTCCCACATCCTTTGCAATGTTTTTGATCAGCAACAGCTATAGAGACCTGCAATTGTAGCACAACAGAAAATTCCCCTTGGAAGAATCCGTAATGCTGTAGATACTTGGGAAAGTCAAAAAGCAGTTCAGTGGCCCATTTGGCCTTCTGCTGTTGACTGGCGCACCAGTTTATTCAGCTACAAGTTTGGCAGCCAGCGTGTTCAGATACCGTTGAGCTAATTCTAGCAATAATATAGTTGAGAAGAGCCACAGGAGGGGTTGTGGCTCAGTGGCAGAGCAGGCAGAAGGTCCCAGGTTCAGTCCCCAGCATCTCCAGTTAAAAAGGATCAGGTGATGTGGAAGAGCTCTAGCTGAGGAGAGCCCCCACCAGTCAGAGTAGGCAGTACTGACCTTGGTGGAGCAATAGTGCAACGCAGTAAAAAGCAGCTTGCTATGTGTCCAACATTCCCTTCATGCCTGCTTAGGAAGCCCCTGCACCCCAAGCCTCTGGCAGACAGTCAGCTGAGCTGGGCTAGGCAAAGTGGCTTGAAGCAATGGTGATTTTGCCGCTGTTCTCTCCCTCCAGGTGTTTGTCAGCAAGGACGTGGCTAAAGATCTTGGTTTCTGTTCTGCCTCTGAAGCTGTGAAGGGGCTATACAGGCGTGTGAAGCCAGGGTAGGTGGAGGCCACAAAGTCAGGTGGGGTGGTTAAGCTGGAATTGTTCCATAGAGTCCCTTAGCCAGTGCTTGAGGGAGAGGGGAGTGTATGAAATGGAACACTGGGTGGGATGGAGTCAAAGTGCAGAGAAACAGCACGGGGCCCCTATCAGCAGCAGGAGAAAGCCCCTGAAAAACTGTACTTGACAGGTGCCCTTAAGAGAGCCAGTGTGGTGTAGTGGTTAAGAGCGGCAGACTCCAGTCTGGAGAACCGGATTTGATTCCCCATTCCTCCTCCTCAGGGGTCATTTCGTAGAAAAAGAGCTAGGGGAACTCATTAGCATAACTCATTAGCATATGCCACACCCCCTGACATCAGGGGCCCGGCGGTGGACCTGCAAGGCCAGCGGGAGAAAGCCCCGCCAAGGCCCTCCCTGGCCCCAGGCAGGCAGGGGTGGGGAGAGGCGGGGAGGAAGCAACTTACCCTCCCTCTTCTGCCTCCTCCTGGCTGAATGAGGGCTGGAAGCGGGGTGGCCGGAAGCAGGGGGCGGGGCTTCGTCATGTGCCCCGCCCCCCTGCACCTCACCCGGGGGAACTGCATTCCCCCGCGTTCCCCCCCGAAATGACATCTGCTCCTCCTGAAGCCTGCTGGGTGACCCTGGGCCAGTCACAGTTCTCTCAGAACTCTCTCAGCCCCACCTGCCTCACTAGGTGTCTGCTGTGGGGAGAGGAAGGGAATGTGATTGTAGGCCGTTCTGATAGGCCGTTCTGAGACTCCTTAAGGTAAAGAAAAGCATGGTGTAAAAACCTACTCTTCTCCTTAGTGCTCTTCATTGAGCATGCCAGAGAATGAAGCTCATTGGCCCTGTGGCAATCCCCCCCCCCAATTTGTCTAACTGGTCTGGAACTATTTCTTGATCCCAACCTAAATCTGCTTCGTGGGTTACAGCTCGAACTGGTGGTTTCTCACCTGTGTCTGGTGAGCATTGAGGGCAGGTGTATTCGCACTGCAAAGCACTTCTGCAGCACAGGCTGCCATTGAAATACTTATTTTCTTTAGTTCCACCTTACCAAGCTAGCTCAGGGCACACCATTTTGTGACTCCCATCCACATGCGTATTGGGGTGGGGGGCAGCTATGGGGTCATCCATCCTACTTTGAACGGCAAGGCATCTGGCTCCCGCTCTGCCCCTTTGGGTCACTTTGATTGTGTAGGATGCACTGTTCGCAAGTGGAGAGTGCATTGAGAGGGGGCTCTTGGGTCCTAACCCCACAAACTCCCTGCTTTCCACCCAGGGCCACCTTGATCTGTGCTTGGGCGGAGAATGGGGCTGATGCGATGGGACCAGGTGGGCAACTGCTGCACTCGGATGCCTTCCCCCCCGACAATGTCGTGGACACGCTGGGGGCTGGGGACACGTTCAACGCTTCTGTTATTCTTGCCCTCAGCAGGGGTGAGTACATCAGTCCTCCTCCCCCCTCCCACACATCAGTCCTGTCCAATTCCGCATGCCTTGTCAAATGGCGGCAGCACTAGGGGCACAGGGCAGAGGCGTGAGACGTCTCCCTCTGCCCACTGACCCTTCAAGTCTTAGCAGATCCAGAGTGGCTGCTGGCCGTGCCTCCGTATGGCGGAGAGAGTTGACACTCTGCTTTCTGCGGCAGGGAGACCACTTCAGGAGGCCATCACCTATGGGTGCCAGGTGGCTGGCCGGAAGTGCGGGGTGCACGGCTACGATGGGATCGTGTGAGCTGCATTCCGGAAGCCATGTCTGCTGGGTCTGGGACCCTTCTCCGAGCCAAGGACCAAAATCTTCTGCGCTGCTGCACTGCACGCGCACCATGGACGCTGGTGCCACCCCTGTGCAACTCACAGCTGGTGGGAGAGGGATAGGCCAAGCCTGACTTGCCACCCTGCACGCAGTGTGCCGTCTGCTCTGGCTGGCCCTGGCGCTCTTGTCCCCAATGGGGACTCTCTTGTGTTGCCATTTCTAGAGTAAAGATCAATAAAAGTGTTCAGATTTGCAGATCATGGCTGGCTCTGTGTGCAAGTCCCACATGAAAGGTTTGCAGAGCAAGCCCGTCTGACACTTGAATGGTCTGGAGGAGCAGCGCAGACTATAAATTGGAGAAGACCCCAGGACGGGAGTACGGAGCAGGAATCCAGATAACTGCTGTGGCATTCTGCGTCTTTCAGAATGAGCAGCGGAAGAAGGGAGACGTTGCAGCCAAGGGGACGTAGGGCTCTTTTTGTAGCAGGAACTCCTTTGCATATTAGGCTACACACCCCTAATGTAGCCAATCCTCCAAGAGCTTACAGAGCTCTTCTTACAGGAGCTACTGTAAGCTCTTGGAGGGTTGGCTACATTAGGAGTGTGTCGCTTAATATGCAAATGAGTACCTGCTACAAAAAGAGCCCAGTTAGGCACTTTTCCCCCCCTCCACAGGCCCTGGGAGGGAGGATGGGAATTCTGGGCTTATAATAAGCAAGTATTTTTAAGAAGTACTATATAAACATGTACAGATACTGCGGACCACCAAAAAGACAAATCAGTGGGTTCCAGATCGAATCAAGCCTGCACTCTCCCTAGAAGCTAAAATGAATGAACTGCGGCTATCATACTTTGGTCACATTATGAGAAGTCAAAAGTCACTGGAAAAAGACAATAATGCTAGGAAAAGTTGAAGGAATGCTAGGAAAAGTTGAAGAGAGGAGGACCCAACATGAGATGGACTGACCCAATCACAGCCCTCAGTTGGCAAGAACTGAGCAAGGCTGTTAATGATAGGATGTTTTGGAGGTCATTAATTCATAGGCTCGCTGTAAGTTGGAAGCAACTTGATGGCACTAAACACACACAAACACACGGAGAATGGGTGGCTATTAACCCCAAGGCTACATCCATAAGATCTACAAATGGTGGTGACTCATGGTGGGCCATATGTTGCCACTGGAGGTGGGATTAAGGGGTGGTTACAATGAATAGAAATAGTGCCAAGCGGCATGCTCTGTTGATCTGATCCAGCATGGCAAATCTTGAAATCCTGAGCACTGCTGGTTCTCTTCTGCTTAAGGATAGCCTAGATTTCTTGTGGACAGGGCCTGGCATCAAACACAATCCAGGCTGCCCTTGTGTTCTGGGTGGCTCCCTCCAAGATGTTGTAGGGCCACTGGTTTCCCCCTTCTGCGATAAAAACACATGAAGTTCAAAGACACTTTATTGTCAGGGCAAAACACAGAGAGTTTACCAAAGTACAGGAGATCGAGAGATGTTAACCAGGGGCAATGCCATCAGCATCCTTCCTCTTAGGGCACCTACAAGGAAGAAGTGGGTAAACAGCAGCTGCCTACTCGGGACAGATGTCGTGGTTCAGTGGTAGAGCATCCGCTTTGCATGATTAAAGATCCCAGGTTCAATTCCAGGCATCTCTATTTAAAAGGATCAGTTGGTAGGTGATGTGAAAGACTTGAGACCCTGGAGAGTTGCTGCCAGTCAGAGTGGACAATGGCTGACCTTGCTAGACCAAGGGCTGCCTTGATAGAAGGCAGCTTCATGTGTTGGGAGGAGCCAAGACAGATGCTGACCAGTTCCCTAGCACGGAGTGAGTGGGAGGCATTGTGATTCTGTACTTCACATCCTGAGAGTCTAGAGGGTGGGAATGGGAAATGGTTCTCTGCCTACTTGGCAGAGGGGGTGGCACTTGGGGGCGGAGAGCACCACTGGCACTGCAGCCCTTGGAGCTACTTGCATGGTACCCAGCGAGCTGGATAAGGCCTTCTTTGCAAAGAGATGTCCTAGGAAGGATACCAAGCTCTGGTCCTGGGCTCCTGATCCAGGCTAAGCCAACTGTTATCCATCCAGGGGACAGCATGTTTGGGATTCTCAGTTGCATGTTGAACGGGATGGTATCTGGAGCAGGCAAGAAAAGCAAGGATTTGTGCACAGAGCCCTAGAGCAGCACAGATGACTGAAAGGGTGAGAAATCTGGGTGGTTCCAGGGACATGGGCATGACAGGAAGTGGCAGCAGCAAGCTCAGACTGTTTCTGGCTTCCCACCTCCCTGCAGCCCCTTCTGGAAACTGCCCTGGAGTCATTCTGTTCCTCTGTCCATAGGGCCAAGTCATCCACCAGACTTCTTCCTCTCCTGAGCAGAGTAGGTATCAGTTGCCGGGAGCAGGAGGCATCTCAGCCCCTTGTCCCTGTGTGTCTGGCGATGCTTCCTGGCCATGATCCCCTTTGTGCATTTGTGCTCCAGGGCTCAGGGAAGGGGCCTCCATGACTCCCTGCTCCTGAAAAGTCTCTGGGGCAGCCGGGGGCTCTGCTGTACCTTGCTGGACTGGGAGGTCTGAGAGCCCAACGCTTTGTTCATCCGGCTCTAGAGGGGCCCACAACACTGTCCCATCTTCTCCACTGGGGGCAGCAAGCAGAGCTGGGGCCTGATCCTGCCAGGGGCCAAGAAACAGCTCCGAGGGCTCCAGCAACCCGTCCCGGTTCAAGTCCTGTGTCTCCAGGATGCTGTCCACCATCAGTACCAGCTGCAGGAGCAGACGAAGAGATCAAGTCAACACTTTGGTTATTAACAAAGAAACATCCATGGTCACTGATTTCCCCCCCCCCCCCAATCCCCGGAGCTTTAATCCTGTACTTGCATTTCTTTAGTCTTATTAAAATCATGGAATTAATTTAAACTATACTTAACAGATGCCTTGGGTGCCTTCTAAGTATACCCAACTTTGCATCTTCCTTCTGAGCCTTAAAATAACAAAAAGTTCCGCAGTATATGTGCGGTCGTGTGATGAGCCCTGCTGGATGAGACCAGTGGTCCATCTAGTCCAGCATGCTGTTTCACATAGCGGCCAACCAGGTGCCGTAGAGGGCCAAACAAATGGGGCACGGAGGATAAGGTCAGTGAAGCTGCACACTCTCTAGGCATAAAGTTTAGAAGAACAGACTTAGACCTCAATGCAGAGTGATTACTTCACGTGAGGGTCCAACTGCGCCCACCTTCTGGATGATTAAAATAAGGAAACTGACGACAGCTAAGAATACTGAGTGAGCCCTGACCTGGATAGCCCAGGCAAGCCCAGTCTCGTCAGATCTCGGAAGCTAAGCAGGGTCGACTCTGGCAAGTATTGGATGGGAAACCTCTTTGGAAAACCAGCAGTTGGGAGGCGGGGGCAGGCTTTATTCAGCCACCTCTCTGAATATCCTCCAGGCCCCCAGTAGGGGTCAGTCACCAGAGGTCGCTGTGACTTCCAGGTGCGCATGCACATGCACAAAAATACACCCCCCCCCAAAGAATACCTAGGGAGAGGTGTTGCAATATTCACACCCTTTTTATAAGAAAACTGTGGCAACCAGCCTTTGAGGCTAAAGGAAGACAAGAGCCCTTAGGGGGTGAGCGGTCTACAAATCGAAATAATAAATAAATAAATAAATAAACAAATAAGAGAGAATGCCTCAAGACCTGTTCTGGTGGCCTAGGGTTGCCAGCCTCCTGGTGGGGCCTGGAGATCTCCTGGTTCCCCTGTCGAAAATGACTGCTTTGGAAGATGGACTCTATGGCATTATACCTGCTGAGATCCCTCCCCTCCTCAAACACTGCCGTCCCCAGGCTTCACCCCCCAAAGTTTCCAGGTCGCTCTGGGCCATGAGCAGAGATCTTAGAGGGGTTTTTATAGAAGAGGCATAGAGAGCAAAGAGGTCCAGCTGACTCAACTGATCAGTCTCCCCAAGGGAGATCCTCCCACTTCCAATCTGAGGTCTAATTCACAGGTGCCCCAAGAATGAGGCAAAAAAGCCCTGAGGCAGTAGAGACTGTTCCACTTCAAACTGCGGGTAGATTTCAATGTGCCTTCAGATGGAAGGAATACCATGAAAATTAGTCCAGCATGGGGAAAGGCTCAGCACTCTTGCCTTTTGTTTGCTGTGCTGGTTTTCCATCTGCCAGTTTTTAAGCAAAGGGAAATATGCTAAATTGTAATCTTCTACCTGCAGTCTGAAATGGTGCAGTCCACGCTGCATGTCATTGTAGCCATCCCTGAAACTCAAGGGAGCTTCACTGAGGAGAAAAATGAAAAATAGCAGGAGCAGGAGAGGAACGATTTTAAGCAATTAGAGCTTTGTCAGGGGACCGTCACAAAAATGTGTAGGTAGTTATGCTGCCTTCACATGAAATCAGGGAAAATAATAAAACACACTGCGTTCTTGAATTATTTCTATATAGCAAAAATTTTATTGCATGCAAATGCAGTATGGTATCATGAGTTACATATTTTGTTTTGTGATAGTCACCTGTTGAAGACCTAATGGCTCGAAAAAGCTGCTTCCATCATAGCTGCTCCCTTGGTACCTCCTAACATTTTGTGTAACTTTTAAATATTTTGTGATTGACCTGGGGCAGCCATTTTCTGACTGGCCCCAGCCCCCAGGATAGCTGTTTTGCCACTGGTTCCAACTCCATGGCGGCCATTTTATTGTGGCGGCCACTACCTCTTCTTTAAAAATTCCAGAGTGCTCACTGGTTCAACTACATGAGAAGCCCCTGCTCTTGAGAGTCAAGTTATGACAGAGACCCAAGGGGGCAGGCTCAGGGGAGCAACAAGAAACGGGATCCAGAGGTTACCGCCTAACAAAGGAATGGAGGCAACAAGAAGAAAAAGAAGAGATTGGATTTATACCCTGCCCTTCACTACCCAAAGGTGTCTCAGAGCGGCTTACAAACTCCTTTCCCTTCCCCTCCCCACAACAGACACCCTGTGAGGTAGGTGGGGCTGAGAGAGCTCTTGACAGAAACTGCTCTTTTTCAAGGACAGCTCTTATCAGAACTACGGCTTGCCCAAGGTTGTCCAGCCAGGTGCAAGTGGAGGAGTGGGGAATCAAACCCGGTTCTCCCAGATTAGAATCCGCGCACTTAACCACCACACCAAACTGGCTCTCAGTCTCCCAGGACAGGCTGGCAGAGTGTATGTTTCTCCTAGGGCTGGCAAGGGTGCCAACGCGCCTGACACAAAGAAGGCCAAGGAATTAAAAAGCACCTACCAAGTCAGGCAAGGGCTGCCTTTTGGCCTGTTCTTCCGCCAGCTCACTAAGCAACCGCATGAATTCCAGGCCATCCAGTCGACCGCTCTTGTCATAATCATGGAGAACAAAGAGAAGCAAGAGAGCTGCAGATACCGGGAGAAGATTGTGTCAGCCAAAGGGAAAGTGTTGGGGAAATGAGAGGTGCAGAAACCTTTTCATGCACTCCCATCTCCATTGTGTTCGTTTTGTGAGGGAGAGAAGCTGGCTTCCCAATTGCATCAAAACAGAGAGAGAGACAGTTGTTCTAAACCAAAACTCAATTTATTCCATTACACACTCTTAAGTCAGAAAACACTTGTAGCATTTCAGAATATTTCAACACAACCCCAATACATAAATAGTGCACTTCTATAAGTCCTAAGTTCTATAAAGGACATCCTTGGTTGCTCTGTCAAGACCCATAATGGAAGGGTAGTTGGCCAGAACAGGGAACAAAACTAAATTCAGACATTAAGCACACTTTTCCAACCAGAGGGGCTAATGTAACTGTCAGTCAAGTCTGTGACAAGCATTTGACATATGTCTGACGTATAGAAAAAGAAGAGACTGTATTTATACCCCGCCCTTCACTCGGAGTCTCAGAGCAGCTTACAAATTCCTTTCCCTTCCCCTCCCCACAACAGACACCCTGTGAGGTGGGTGGGGCTGAGAGAACTCTTTCAAGAACTGCTCTTTCAAGGACGGCTCTTGTCAGAATTATGGCTTGCCCTAGGTCATCCAGCCAGCTGCAAGTGGAGGAGTGAGAAATCAAACCCGGTTCTCCTAGATTAGAGTCCACACACTTAACCACTACACCAAACTGGCTCTATATACAACAAAGTCAGCCCTTTCTTTCTGTCCCTGGGTTAAGGAAAGTCAAGGAAAGCTGGGTTAAGCTAGGTTGACTGAGAGTTAAGGTTGACTAAGAGAGTCCCAGGAAGCTAGGTTCAGATACACTATCTATTTAGAATTTTATAATGTATAAACATTCCAAAAGGCAGAAGTCATGTAAGGCAGAGATCATGTACAGGGTTATTGGTACCAGAAGGCCACAGCACCAGCAAAGTTCTGAAGCATCCTGGGAAACAGAACCAAAGATTCAACTATAGAGGCTAATTGCTATAGAAGTTAAAATATCATAGGTTTATCAGAGGCTCACTCCAGGCCCTAATTCTGCAACAGAAAGCAACTGGGGACCCACTGTGGGAATAATGATGGTGGTGATGGATTTTCATTTATAGTCCCCCTTTCTCACTGGGACTCAAGGCAGATCACAAGTAATGATGCTTCCTTCTGGCTCAACACACCTATTGCACTTGAGTCCCAATGAGAAGGCGGACTATAAATGAAAATACATAAATAACTTGGTCTGCCCACAGAGACTACCAAGAGATCACAAAAACCAAACTATTATGGTCTAATGGGACAGAGCTGTCTTTCCTGTGCAGCATGGAGGGGCCCACTGGCTAAAGGAAACAAATCTAGATCAGTTTAGTAAGGTGGCCGCCAACCTTCATGCTAGGTCAAATGCAGAGGTGACTCTTGAGCTGGGATTGGGAAGCACGTGTGCGCATCTGGCTGTAAAATGCTTGATGCTGAGGCTCAACACAGGCAGCTGGATGCTATGCATGGAGCTTGCTGGCCTTGGGGGTCTATGGGTTGCTTCCAGTGAGGCACAAACGGAATGGAAATTTACTCAGCACAGTTCCACTTGCGCAAGCGGTAACATATGGGTTCCTCCAACACAAAACAGTTCAATATAATTTTCAATATACATTTTAATGAGGGGTCATGGTTCAGTGGTAGAACATCTGCTTGGCATACAGAAAGTCCCAGGTTCAGTCCTCAGCATCTCCAGTTAAATGATCTGGCAGTACGTGATGTGAAAGACCTCTTCCTGGGACACCGGAGAGCTGCTGCCAGTCTGAGTAGACAGAACTGACCTTGATGGGCGGAGTGTCTGATTCAGTATAAGGCAGCTTCCGCACTATGTACAAGGAGCAATCAAATGTACAACACATGCTTTGCAAGGTTTAATTTGCTTTAGAAATTGTATCAGAAGAAATAGCTTGTGTGGTGTATGTCTTGCACTCCCAAAAAAGGTGCAAGGACTGTTGCATATGTGGAAGTTTTCCATGGGATGCAACCCAATGTGTCTTCGTGGGGTCTACTCCTATGGGAGGACCGCTGCTAAGTTGCCACGACCGGGAAATGCTTGCAAACAGCATTTGTAAAGAGAGAGATATTTCCTCTTCATCAGAGTCAGAAGAATTGTCCTTAGGGATACTTGTTAAAGCACTCTAAAGACCACCCTAACGTGAAGGAAGGAGGAGCAAAAGAATGTGATGCATGACAGCTGGGAGTGCGGCAGCATCCTCAGCCTCCAACAGTGCAAGGCATTGTAAGCTGCAGCCAGCTAATTTCTTATTTTAGGTCTCGGTTATGCTATGTAATTTTATGCCTGGCTTCTATTGGTCAAAGCTGACCACAAGGCAGCAGGCTGGAGAGAGGGATGGGCCACATCAAATCAGTTCACGTCTCAAGGCAGAGGCGGAATGGACATCTTTTAGTGTGGAATAGTTGCCACCAGGCATTACAAACTCCAAACATTTCTCATCTGAGGGTCTTTTCCAACTTCATCATCATGAATATGATTTTGCTTTAGAAGAGCAGGTGAGAAATCTGAGGGTCTGCCTTAGAACAAGTTTCTCTCTCTCTCTCTGTAGAAGGCTCTGAACAGAATTAGGGTGGGTAAGAATCACACTTTCAGCCTAGCTAACTGAATTAAAAAGAGAGCCAGTGTTATATAGTGGTTAAGAGTGTCGGACTGGGAGACCCTGGTTTGATCCCCCACTTGTGCATTGAAAGCTCGCTGGGTGACCTTGGGCCAGTCACACTCTCTGAGCCTAATCTAACTCACAAAGTTGTTGTTATGATAAAATGGAGGAGAGGAGAAGTATGTAAGCTGCCTTGGGTCCCTATTGGGAAGGAAGATGAGGTATAAATGAATAAAACAAACAAATAAATCTTCTGTACAAGCCTTCGCAGGGCCACTCCAGTCTAAACCAACTGAAAAGACTGTCCCTTTCATTAGCTGAAAAAAAAATCCTAACCTCTTTTTAATTTGCTTCCTGATTTTTATCATAATGTGCATTCACACAGTCTGCCTCCTCAGATACTGTCCAGCCCGCCACTCAAGGTACTCTCCCCAACCCTTGTTCTCTGTGTCTTCAGCTGCAGATGTGAGGCAGATGGCAATCAGAGACAAGGCTTTTTCAGTGGTGGCACCTCACCTTTGAAATACCTTTCCTTACTGCTCTTTAAGTGCCAAGCCAAAACATTTTTATTTTCACTAAGGCTTTTAATGGAGGGTTTTCATATTTTAAAGCATTTTAAATGGTCTGCTTCTAGCCTGAGGATTCTTTTATAAATATCATTTTAGGTTGCTCAGTGTTTCTTTTATGCAGGGTTTTTATATCCCTGGCTTGTTTTTAATGGCTTGTTTTACTACTGATAACTTTTATGTTGTAGTTTTAATGATTTTATTGTATTTTGTTTGTTTGGGGAGCTGCCTCAAGCAGGTCTCTGGAGAGTTGGCATATCAATTCTCTAAATAAATCAATAAAATACACCTCTGTGCACAGTCAGGTGATATCTTTAGCAGGACTAACTCAAACATCACAATGTCAAGAGGGAGCTTTCTCTGTGATTCTTCCTCAAACTGGGAGCCACTGTTCTTCAGCAAAGGCAAAGGGTGACTCCAGTGTGAAATGGCTGAGCAGAACTGAACAATAGGCTTAACTGTATTAATCATACCATAAACAGACACGACACCTTTCTGAATCAACTGCAGGTGTGTGTTAAGTGCCATCAAGTTGCTTCCCATTTATGGCGACCCTATGAATTACAGAGCAATCCTCTGTTGCGCCTGTGCTGCAGCAGCTGCCCATGGTGCAACAGTGGTGCCACCAGTCGCCTCCCTAAGGGGAAAGTTACACAATGGCCACATGGGGGGGGGAGATGCTCTGTCAGTGTTGGCAGGCACTGCCACGGTGGCATCCATTGCGTTTCCACAGCAGCATTCTGTCCCAGCATTGCTGCTACGTGGAGGCAGCAAGATAGACAGGGCAGGCAGGACAGACCGCACAGGACTCCCAAGGGTCATGATAGATAAGAATGTGGATGTGCCCTCTGCTCACTGGCAGCCGTGCCATCCAGCAGGGCACTCAAGCTGTCAAGGGTGTTGCTGTGGCAACCGCCGTGTAACCCCCACTGGAGGATGAGCAGGAGGGGGGCAGGGAGTGCAGGGGGTGCCATGTCATTCAGTAAAGTTTGTTCAGATATATTCTTCGTATCTCTCTGTTACCTAGAATATAAATTGGACTAGAGAGCTAAGGGATAAAATCCCAGTTTTGGGATTCCCTGACTACTGATCCACTCAAAACAACACCAGGCATCGAAGGCAGATCACCCACTCAGTCGGCCCCAACTCAGAGCAACCAACTAGACCCTAGACCCTTTAGATATGAGATCAGGAGCTGCCATCGACCGCCAGCCTCTGGCATCAAACAGGAATGTGGTTCTTACCCTGCTCCCTTGTCATGGTGTCAGCATCCTTCTCAACCTGACCAACATTCTTCAAATAGTCTTGGAGCATCCTATTGACAAATGGAACCACCAGTTGGTCCAGCCAGGGCTGGGACAATGCAGAACACAGGGAAAGGCTGATAGGGACTGAAATGAAAAGGTATCACAGGAAGGGACCTAGCACTTAGCCTTCAGATCTGGACAATTCACTGAGAAAGGGCCCTGTGTAGCCTGATAAATTTCAGGAAAAAGACATCTCAGGACTCAGGTTTGCCTGGAATGGGAACAATGTACTGGAAGCTTTACCTTAAAATCCCATAGGCATGCAAAGTTCACCCATCACCACTCAGCAGTGAGGAAAAAGCATTCAGCACATGTTCAGAGGTGTACGTGGAGTGAATCCAAGCTTTAAAAACAGACTCTGCGGCCAGCATCTTGCTGAGATATACACTCAATTGGGAACTTCCTGTCTGGGGGGAAGAGGGTCTCTTTTCCACTTGGAGAGGAATCAGGGCTGAACAGCTCATCTTGGAGATTGGAGGGAGGGAGGCTCTGCACTTAAGGCTCGTTGTTTAGTTATACTAGTTAGACGGGCATGAATTTGTGGGAATCACAGCAGGATGGGAGAGAGCTTTTACCTATCAATCGCCATCTCTTCTCTCTTCCCCTGCATCCTCTGGCTTCCCTCTCTCCTCCAGCCAAAAGGTGAGCAGAACAAGACTAAACAATCTGGAAGCAAACCTGGTATTGGACGTGTGTGTGTGTGCATGCATGCGGACACATGCATGTATGGGACAGGCACTCACCTCACATTCTCCTTCCCTGGATGCAGAGGGTTAAGGATGGGATGATCCCTAGGATCACTGAGAGTCTCCAGCCTAGAAAGACCAAAACGAAGGGTGTGAGATGCAGACTAGCCATTTAACTGACAGGGAAATCTCCCAGTGGGCCACTGCCCTAGATGGCCACTGGCAGCCAGGAGCCAATTACTCAGGGGCCACTTGGCTCAGATACTCTGAGCCAGACTGTTCATCAGCAATGGTAGTTGGCATCTTCTCCTGCACTGCTTCCAACTTGGGGGATGATGCAGTGGGGGAGCAGATGCACTGAGCGACTCTTGCAGCACGAGTGCTGGCTGGTAGCATAGCTTGACTTGCTCCAGAGCCATTTTCACTTCCCAGTCCACTTGGGGGGGGGGGTTGCTCTTGTGAGCATTGGAAACAGGGCAACGCAGAAGCCCCCACCCCCACCCCACCCCCCTAGTGGGCTTGATAGGACCCCAGTACCTTCACCATCCCTGGTTTAAAAAAGCAGTTCGAGGCCCCTTCCCCACCTTGGTACCTCTTACTGCCATCCTTTGGTGCTGCCCAGCTGACTGGCAGAATGAGTAGCAGAGTGGCTAAAAAAATCTCCTCCTTCATCCTGGCACCATTCAGGGGAGTAGCCTGGAAGGAAAATGAAGGACCAGCATCAGTGAGTGCCCTGTTTGGGGTTGGTATAGCAGGGAGACCTCTAGTGCTTGCTCCCTGCAGTGAAATGTGTGTGTTGTTATTACTCCAGCAATACCCACACAGCCCTGACCTGAATAACCCCAGGCTTGTTTGATCTTATCAGATGTGGGAAGCTGAGCTCAGCCCTGGTCAGTCTTTGGATAGGAGGAGACCACCAAGGAAGTCCGGGGTCTCTGTGCCAAGGCAAGCAATAGTAAACAACCTCTGAACGCCTCTTGCCTGGAAAACCCCATGGGGTCTCCATATCTCGGCTGCAACTTGATGCCAAAAAAGGGGGGTTTACAAAGGATGCATTTCACACATTTAGTGGCAGCAAAACAAGTCAAGGACAGATGTTATAAGCAATGTTCCCTCTAAGCTGTGGAGTCTTGTGAGCAAAAATTCTACTTTGTGAGCTACTGGCATTAAGGTTGTGAGCGAGCAATTTGGCTACTGCATCAGCGAATGTGCTCTGGAACCATCCTTCCTGAGCAAAGACAAAAATGTGTGAGCTAGCTCACACTAACTCAGCTAAGAGGGAACATTGGTTATAAGTTGCCTTGGGTCCATGGGGGCAAAAAGCAGGGTATAAATATAAATAAATAAAAAGTGCAAACCCCCACCCACCCATCCCAGCACCACTGGGACACACAAGATAGTGAGCTGCTTTATCAGGTGTCTTTCTGGTCCACCCTGCATTCTGTTTCCAACCCTAGTCTGTCAGAGTTTCACATGCACATTGGTGCCCTCTTATGGATGCCCCAGACAGGCAGCCCGGCCACAGGGTCCCCAAAGGCAGACGCCACACAACAACATTCAGCCAGGTAAACCCTGCTGCGTCTCATTCACACAGGCCTTCTTCCACACGCAGAGAGGAGGCGCTCAGAGGGCTCTTGCCCATTCATCCCACTGCCAGCTACGGAGGCGCCCGCCTCTCCGACGGGAAAGCACAGCCGGCCTGCCAACCATCCTCCGCCGGCGGCCCCACTCCTAGCAGACCGCAGCTCTCTCTCGGGGCACGATCTAGGCACACACACACGTGCAGCAGGTGCCCGCGCCTCCCAGCCAGACCCTCCGGCGCGCCTGCAACCCCTCCCCCTTCAGCACTGCAGTGCGGCGCCGTCCACGGCTGGCCACGCTCACGCGGACGGAACGCTCCGGCTCCTGGCCACGCACCGGACTGGCTGCGGCCGCCCCCGCTCGGCTTGCAGATCACCGGGGG